GCGCGCAATTATAACCAAAGTTCAAGACCATGTCGGTGGTTGTGAGTCAGTCGCGATGCACGCTTTTGATTTATTAGTTGTACACAATACAAGATTTAAATCTATATATTCAATGGATGTAATTTATATTTTGTGCACGCTTTATTTGTTAAATGCAAGATTATTTTATTTATTGATATGTTGAAGCGTTGTAAATTCAGTTTAAGTGTGAATAATGAATTATTTACCGATATTATTTATTAGTTTTTCAATTTACTGCGTAGGTAGAAATATTAAATAACTTTTGGAATTTACAAATAAAACTATAACTAATAAACAGTTTTAATTAAGTTCTCGTTGATTTTTTTAAATATTTAATAACATTTTTTGCTTAACTTAAATACCAGTGGATGAAAGAACTTTGTGATCAAATATGAGAGGAATGAGAGGATTTAAAGCTAGAAATAAAGAACGCTCATGGAAAATGCAGGCACAAAGCGCAAACACGAGACGGAAAAAAGCGCCAAGGAAATTAAATTTGTCTGGAGGGTGGATAAAGCGAACACTTTCTGCATGGATAATAGTGTGCCAACCCAGCGTCAAAATTAGTTTACTATTTCGAGTAGAAATCTTATTTGAGCTCATTATACGAAATATTCCCAATATCATGAATTTGCCTTTAATTGTATTAATGTTAAATGCGAAAGTGGCAAAGTTTTGATTGCACTTGGTAATTTTATGAGCGGTGCGGACATCGATAGCGCGATGAGCCAACCGAATGCAAACAAGCGATGCTCCTGCGTCGCGACGCTTGATAAATACTTCATTAGCCGATTTTAATCACGCTGCATTAATTAAAGCCCGGCGGGCATTCTGTTCAGCAAGATTCATGTCTGCGAGCAGAGTCATTGCCACTTTTGAGACACGTTTTTACTTAAAAATAGAAAAAGAAGTTTGTATTAAAAGTATTAAAATATTTTATGAATATTTGCATTTATATTGTGTATTGTGTTGCTACAAACAATTTGGCTGATTATGACTGTGATGACTTCTCGAGACTGGTGCTTGTGGATGGCAGTTGTGCGCACTTATTAAACGCAAACTTATTAACGACTGTCAACAATTACAAGCATCGCGCGGCGGGTTGATGATAGTTTCGGTTAAGCACTTTGCAACTTTGCCCGCATGTCGCGTACCAGTTATTGTTATGCGTTATTGTTTTGCGTCTGGGATTATTGCGGAAAATAGAATACGTAATATTCACTTGGCGTCGGTTAGTCAGCGACGACTATTTGACAGAGACTTTTCAACTTCCGCAATAAACTGTCTGCAAATGATTCTGATGAGATGTTGGGCGATATTTGTATAGATGTGAGACATTTATTACGACACAAGATGATTGTCATAGAAAATATAATATTTAGAGCTCAAATAGGTATATTTTGGTTATAATTTATAAATTTTATTTTCATAAATCTTATGAAACTTTAAAAGTTTGTTTGTTTGCTCAATATGACTTCAGAGTTTGAAGAAACATAAAACTTTGTTACGACTTCACATTATAACATATGTTTGTTATATATCCCGGACGAATATGACGCTTTTGTTGTAAACTTTTCAAAGCTTCCGAATGGGAACTTGTATGAAACACAGTAAAACCTACAAGAAAGACGTAACGACGAACGTCAAAGTGCAGTGCGCTGCATCAAAAATTCATTATGCCAATGAAAATGATTTATGTTGCAACAAACTTCAACTTCTTATCTGCCTCCAGACTCTGCTGCAATATTTATTATCACATGTCTATACTTCACATGCTTTAATTTTCTCTCCACCGTTTACTGCATTCTAGAGTAACGAGTGTATTTATATCAACGTTAAAATGAAAATTAAGATGACTTATTAGTTGTCTAAGTGGCAGATGTTAAGCCTGCGTGTTTACGGCGTTATGGGACTTTGCAGAAGTAACGCCTCGGGTTTTAAAAGCCGACAGAGGCGAGGCGGATCGCGCGCGGCTAATAATTAATTACCGAGTTAATCGAAGCTATAATTTTCCGGCCGGGAAGGCGGCGCGCGCTGGCTACAGTTCGCGCCAACTGGAACTTATTCTGCGCGGCGTCAATTTGCCGCATTAATAACTAGCGTGCCATCTTTGCACTGAAACATATTACTATTAGACATAATAATAGAGAAGTTGGCGGCAAAGTTTTCGGGGAAGAACATAGGTACAAAGTTAAAATGACTTTCGGAAATTGGATATTACGCTATGTCAAATTGATGCATGCAATTTCTAAATATGCATTCAGTTAATTATGTTTCTGCGAACCCTGTGAGCATTTCTCTGATTTCCGAATACGTACAAACATTTACCTTCATTCCACTGAATCGTGTACTGTATTGATGTTATTACCCTGAATATGTTTGCTCAGATTATTCGGATTTCCGCATAATAGTGTTGATTGTACTTTAATTAATTCCGTAAAATGCAAAGGAGAAATGCGCATGAAATCAAAGCGTATTGAACACCAATCAATAACAGCACGTAATGACGCACATTATTGCGTCATAAATATATTCGCATCGCATGCATAATACATGCATAATGCGTTGCTTGCGGCAACAATAGATTTGCGATTGCACTGATTACGATTGATTACAATAGCGTGGACGTGTGCACTGGTCAACATACACACAACACACATCTACGTAAGTGATGTGCTAATTTCACGGAATGATGTTTTGTCTCATCACACGAGACACACCCAGGCGTATGATTAATTCCGCGAGCGACAGCTGGCAATCCGATCATCGAGGTCTCGTCGTCTAAGGATAATTTGACAAATGGTCCGATAATACGGTGTTATATTTTGACGAAGTCTGAAAGGCGTGCGATTGGGACGCGGTGCATTAGAAAATGATGAAAATAAGACAATGAGGTTCGGCGCTTTGCGCACGAGTAACTGTAAACCAGTGGAGTCGACGACGGCGGCGGTGACGTCGACGAGATTGCGATTTAGATTGGAAATCTCGCATTACCCATCACGTTTTCGCCTTCAATTTAACTTCCAATCTGGAACGATCCGATCACCTCTTTGCTTCGGTAAATCGCTTCCTTGGTGTTAAAACGACGAGCGATTTAAACTTTATAACAATCGGAATCGAGTAAAATCCCGAGTTTTGATAATAGCGGCGTATTAAATTACTGTTAGCGTAATTAATTTTGTTTGTATTAATTAGTTCTGTGTCTGGTTTGGATAGTTTTTTCATAGGATTGAATGTTCATTTGTACGATGTACACGTTTGGAGCTTGGTTCATTCCATCGTGTGCAAAATGCGCAGACAATTTGATAACGTCCGCCGCCGCCGGCGGTCGCGCTTTATCTACATACATTATTGCGTTTATTGTGTGGTGCATTTAAATGTGCGGCGGTAACCCGTCGCCTCCACCAATTTTGACGCTGTTCCATTGCAATTCGAACACTATTGCGATCGCAACGCGATTAGCTTTATTTGCGTGACCTTTGTGGGTAATATACCGAGGGTAGCCGTAATTATTATCCCTAAAATATTTTAACTTTAACTTAATAATTATCAATATAACTTCTAAAGTAACTGTTAATTTTCCTGTTCATCTCCCACAAGTGAATCAGTCTCTTATCGCAGGAAGACATCCCGTTAATCGTCAATAGTTGAAAGCCCTCGTTCACCTGCCACATGAAAGCGGATATTTTACAACGCTTTGTGCGGCACGATGGCGGCGCTAATTGGTACCGCGTACGCAGACGTCTCCAGCCGCCTTCTTGATGATGGGCGCCCGTGCAGGATGCACGCTCGAGTGTTCAATGCGGCGTACACGCACATTACGCCGCTGCTCAAATTGAGACCGTAACGACGTGCTCTCGTGCTCGTTACGTTTTAGTATTATATGCTCTTTCCTGCCCGCCCTTGCCCTTTTCCGTCTTTGCGATAAGAGAAGCGTCGCGAGGTTACTCCACAGGTCTCGCATTAACTGAACGAAGTGAACCTCTTCACGTTTCTAAGGCGCATTTTGTGAATGGTGTTTGCGTCGTTTGCGAGCGCAAAAAACTAATTAGCGTTAATAAGCGATATCGCTTTTCGTTTTGTTTGCTTTTCATGGGGTGAAATTCGTTTAAAATTGCGAATTTCAACGTTCAAGATGTTCGTTTACAAATTTTAATCTTAATTGACATTTTAAAATTAAAATCCTTTCCATATGGTTAACTTAAACTTAAACTAAACAACGATGAAATGTTGGTGCACACAAAGTGACGCAGTTACTGCAAACTTAACCTCCAATAGATGAAACGTATACAACGAAAAAACATACAATGAAAACAAAGCCTGAGCCAAAAATATGAACCATACGAAGCCACAAACCGTGATTTTTAAAACATTGTTCCAGTTGAATTAAAATTTAAGAGGCAGCCCTCAGTATGCCCTAGGGATTAGAATATAGTCGCACCTACAGGTTGTTATGGACAGTTTTATCTAGGAATTTCTTTTGTTTGAATTAACTTCGTGAAACTTGTTTGATATTTTACTTTAATGTCCTTTTAGTCAAGTTATTATGAACCGAAATTTAATATCCAATAATATTCCTTGTAACTGTAAGTTTATTTCATCCGCAGTCATGGTCTCTAGCGTGTTTGCTTTTTATGTCTTTTATATTCTTCCTTATAACGATCATAACTAAGATTTTACTGCTTTACTACTCGTCTCAATTGTGTGTGACATTAACGCGTTTCTATATTTCCACATTTACATTCGCAATATACACACAGCTCATCTTTTATTTCCATTTGAAATGTCTTTCAGACGAAATTAAAGTGTCAATCCAATGGTTTTATCCACCCCTTGACAATTTTCTCTTCTCGATTTTTTGTTGCTTACCGATTTATCTAATTTTTTGCCGTTAGCTCTGGAGCGAACGACGTGCAATTTGTCTATACGTAAATCTCTCTCTTCGTATCTTATTTACGCGTTTTTTCGCTTTGTTGCAGAATGGAACAACATGTCGGGTCACGACAGGGTAAAGCGACAGCTCTCCGTCTCGTCGGACAGCAAGCTGTTGGATGACGACATCAGGAGGAGACGCGCGTGATCCTCAGACCGAAAAAGCCCCGAGACCCAAGTCGGAGGTGCTTCTCAATCAGGGGTCGGACCATCGCCGGATGAAGCGCTTCTCTGCTTTCGGGGTAAGTAATGCTTATAATCAACTTATTTTTTGTGTTTATTAAAACACCATTACAACTGTATTGAGCAAATAAATTCTGTTGCCCATTTTGAAGTTGGCGCAAACGTTTCATGAGATCCTAAGGGTTCAAACGCGTATATAAATCAACATTAAGTATTTATGTCTGTAGACTTGCGGCGAAATGAGTTTCTTGTAAAGCCATCGCATCATATTTTTGCGGTTGGAACATTTTTCATACCAGAGCGAAGTCTGGGCAGTGGAGCAATCGATCTCCAGCGTTTTTTCAAGTCAAACCTTGGGAATTATTACACCTCGACTGCACTCGCAGCGATCGCGTTCATCGATCACGACCAAATGCTTCCAAAGTTTATGAGAAACGAATGCAAACGATGCGCGCATATTACCTAACCTCGTAACATACTTTATGATCCTTTTTCAAGCGACATTTTTAGCTTTTATACATTTCCACATTTCAGTATTTTTTACTATATTTTTTTTGTTTCTGGGAATGTTGATAAATTATTTTGTTATTTTCTGTTATTCTCACCTCGCCCCTTGTTATCCTCGCTTGTTAGTCCCGGATGTATACGATGACAGCAGCTTGGGGCACTTTAGCGACGCGCCTAATTAGTAAATAACCCAGTTGTGTCCTGAGTTCGTTTCGCACCGCTTTTGCAAATCGCCCTATGACATCCATCCAGATGGGAATTCTCTTCGTTCAGCAAGGCGCGCTTCTTTATTCAATTAAAATCAAAGCCGCGAGCGAAATACGCACTCAATCAACAAACAAACAAATATCCATCTGGCAGAGCGCCATCCGCGACCCATTCTCTTCCATTACGAGTAAAATCATTAAACTTCCAGCGCTACTAAAACGAAGGCAACGAAATTAGCGAATCCAATGAAATGAGCGCACTTAATTTCCATGGCTATTTCCTTTATTTACCTCTCCTATTTTATTTTATAATATTAATTTTGCTAATGTGGTGCTTTGAAAAAAGCGTCACGTATCACGGGTCAGGATCAGGTCGTCTAGACGCCTGCGAGGGTGCAGCCGGACTTGAGTTAAAGAAATTATTTGCGCCCACCTCCCGGCGCTCGGAATATACCTAATCACTGGGTTGCCCTGAATGGGAAACCAGGCGCGTTTGTTGCCGCGTTTCCGGAAGCAACGGCCATCGTCAAATTTAAAATGCACCCGCGTCTCGGTGAATTGCACCTACGTGACTTCAATGCGAATAAAAAAAGTAGTCATTCAAACATACGCTGTGAATGTTTATGACCCGTTTTTTCTTGAGTCGCTCATTGCGTTCTAAGCGCGGAGACAAAGGACGCATTAGAAAGAATTCAATAAAAAAGACTCTGAGTCTAATTGATCTGCGTTGTGTTTTATCGTCGGTTGTTATCTTCCCTTGCGCATTCGTGCATGTGCGAACGTTAAGCGAGAGGTTTTATTGCTTTATTTTCGCAAACGAACTCAATGCGGTGGCTTTCATCGGTGTCGATGACTTAGATGACGCAGTTGTAGTGGTAATCATTTAATTGGAAACGTTTTCGAACTTTGGCTTCCCCGGCCACATGAATTAATGTCTTTGTTTTTGTCGCAGGGCGATTCGCCGTTTGGAAAGTCCGAGGCTTACATTAAATTAGAACAATTAGGCGAGGGATCGTACGCAACTGTTTATAAGGGTTTTAGCAAGTACGTATGCCACCCCCATTAATTTTCCTCGCTCGCTGTTATAATTAGCAGATTAGCGAAGCGATTATTGCGCGCGCGCTCACCCTTTCGAAAGGGTGCGCTCGTTGGCAACAAGCGCAACGCCAGCCAGGATTCTAATTGGGTTTGTTTGCGCTCTGTTTGTTTACAGTTTAAAAAATCAAGTAGTAGCATTGAAAGAAATTCGGCTGCAAGAGGAGGAGGGTGCTCCCTTCACGGCCATTCGGGAGGCTTCCCTTCTCAAAGAACTGAAACACGCCAACATTGTCACTTTACATGACATTGTACATACGCGAGAAACGCTTACGTTTGTGTTTGAATTTGTTGTAAGTATATCAAATTATCTGCATCCTAATGAGATGGTAAATTGATTTTTTTTTTATTCTCTAATGCAGCATACAGACTTATCACAGTACCTGGAGCGACATAGCGGAGGCCTGGATCCACGCAATGTCAGACTGTTTCTTTTTCAATTACTGCGGGACTATCATACTGCCATGCGCGCCGCGTCCTGCATCGCGACGTTAAGCCGCAGAATCTGCTGATCAGCGAGATCGGCGAACTGAAGCTAGCCGACTTCGGTCTTGCCCGAGCCAAGTCCGTGCCCAGCCACACCTACTCCAACGAGGTGGTGACGCTTTGGTACCGGCCACCAGACGTATTGCTGGGCAGTACAGAGTACTCGACGTCGCTGGACATGTGGGGCGTCGGTTGTATCTTCGTTGAGATGATCACCGGCATGGCCATTTTCCCCGGTAACCGCGACACGTACGACCAGCTTGACAAGATATTTAAGGTAATATTACTTTAGTTTTAATATGTATGGATGTGATTTTTATTTATTGTTGTTGTGTTGTTCAGGTGCTTGGTACGCCGACAGAGGAAACATGGGACGGTGTGACGCGATTGCCCGGCTACAAGCCACATAAACTAGTGCTATATAGACCTAAGAACTTGGGCATTTATTGGCCGCGACTGTTCGACATCGCGCAGGGCGAAGCGATGGCCTCCTCTCTTTTGCAGTTGAACCCTGAGAATCGGATAGGTGCTGACGATGCCATGCAGCATCAGTATTTCGCCGGATTACCTAAGAAACTACACGAACTCCCGGACGGTATGTCAGATTCTATTTAAAATAGTTACACAAACAAAACCTTTTGGTTTCACTTACTAATTTATTGATTATTTCTAGATGTGTCAATATTCAGTGTTGAAGGTGTGCACTTACATACCGAAATGTCGTTTTTCAAACCGCGACCGAAGTAAAGCGAGTTGCGACGCAAACTCAGGAACAATACCTATATTAAATAAACTCTAAACAACTATTGTAAGCAATGATTTCACGAAATTTCACACCGACGAAAATGCTACAAGATACCAACCGAACACACTTAAAACACAATGACCTGGCTTGACTGTGCTACACTTGCTCTTCATCTCTTGCGGAGTCGCCACCCACGACACTATTTTTACAACAACATAAGTTTAACGAATCAAGGATGCGATAGGTCTGCGATAGAAGACATTTTCCTGGAGCTGACGCTGTCAGCCAGAACGTGCTTCACCAATGTACAGCTACTATCTAAATAAATGAAGAATTATGTGAATCGCTGCGTACATATCGCGTACGCAATCAATGCCGGATTATATTTTATTATGTTTTTAAGTCTTATAATTATTTTTTTATAATTATTGTCTTATTCGTTTAGTGATTATAATTTTATGATAATGGAGCGTCTCTTTTTTAAGGGCTAATTTTACAATGGAGTTTTGTACCAATTGTACATATTCATCTTTCATATTACGTACATATAGTCACCAGTTAACATTACGGGAATGAGCGCATCGAAGAAAATTCTTCATCTTCATGAGCCGGAAGTTTTGATTTATGTTTATAGTTTTTGCGTGAACTGGCAAACAATGGATGATGCAAAAAAGGGCTAAAGTGCAAACGATCAGCTGACAAACATAAAAATTCGCTAACAAATAATGAAATTGCATTGATAAACAAACCAAAAATGAAATTTTGAAAATAGATCCATTCCTTCCATGGTGCTCAATTATAAAATATACTATTATAATGAAAATATGAAGAAAATATTAAAACGAAGAGTTGTTGCAAGGAGACGAATGTCGATACTATTAATTACGATGATGATATACTGATAATGAAATATGCATTACTTGAAACATGATTATTATTTATATGATTGATGTTAACCACTAAATGAAGCAAATGAAAGACTGCATTATGATGGCACGCAAAAAGTCGGTAAATGTCGATAGAGGATCACTGTGCACTGCAATAGAAATCAGTATGCTGCCATGTTTGTGATTCTAGTATCTTCTGAATTGATTCGTAGTTGAACTCAGTGTTAACGAGAGATTTGTGTGGCGCCTGATTGCAGTCTTCAATTGTAGTTCAACTGTAAATTTGTCATATAAAAGACTAGTAAAACGAAACATGTATCTGGTCACAGATTGTAGTTCTTAATTAAAAACTATGGGCTGTAAATGCTGTAAATTTATATGTTTGCAGTCATTCGGTGGACTGAAGCTGGCATTGTGCTGCCAACAAGCAAACTTCTGCTAAGTTTACTTTGATTTTATGATAATATGCCGGAAAATTTCATGTGATTTCATGTGCTCTTAATTTTTAATTAAAATGTTAGAATTGTTTACAAGGAATTCATAACATTGGTATGATTCATTTGGTTCATTTTTGATTATGTACTTGTAAAACTCATCTACACTATAAACCATTATCTTTAAGTTACTTTCTCTCTTTATTTTATAATTATTTGCCTTATATTTTTCACGATCTTATAGTTATGAAGTTCGCCAATGAATTGTGTAAAATATAGTTCGTAAAATTAGCATATTGCGTTGCATTTACTAGTTGAATAAAACGACAAGAGACACCAAAAACAAAAGGTACGAAAACACAGTAGACCAAGAATTCTTGTGGTTGTGGTGAATAGAAATTGACTTACAATTCACTAAAATACTTCATAGAGTTGAACTTAGTGCCCCATCTATAAAGAAACTCCATTACATAACTTCAGCCTCGAAATTTGTTAAGCCATTTAAGAAGCACTGTACCGAAATCATACATGTAAGCGATGTGTCAATCCTTTAGAAGTGTAGATCGACCTGACAGCAAAACAATCCTCGGAAATCCATTTACTTGATATACAAGTTAACTTATAAATTAAGCATAGACCAAGATTAATGATAGTTAACAAACGAATCAAATTTACGCGATACGTGCCAAACTGAAACGGAATAATGTGAACAGGTAGCTAAACGTGATTATCCAATTTAACTATGACTAGCATTCAATGATTTTGCATCGATTAGCGTTTTCAATATTTAAGAAAATACGGTTGATTCTTTATGCAATTGCTAAACTCTTACATCTTTCTCTTGCACTCTTAGATGTTCAGTAATGCTTCATAAAATGGAAGCATTTGATTGCATTTCTCAACTAATGTTCAGAATTGAGTAAAATTCAAAATTGAAATTTCTTTCATGGTCACTGTAAATTTGAATCACCTTACTTGATAACTTTCTAATACTATCACTAAATAGAGCAGGTAAATAACGAGACATTTCGTAAGAAAGTAAATAAATAATATTAGGCCTAAACGAAACGATGAATTAGGTAGACATTCATAATTAGCACGATTCGTTTCAGTCGTCGGACATCGTTAAGAAACTTTAAACAATCAAGAGTTGTTCGTAATTTGCGATAAAGAGATTTTAGATAATTAACATGTAAAATCATCATCAAAATCATTAACTATAATAGCATTGTTAGCGATCGATACTAGTAAAAAACATAATGTCTGTTTGACTACGAAATTTGATAGCACGTTATTGTCGTAACTAGTGGAAGAAATTACGATTTAGTCCAAGGCACTAAAGGTACGCGGCAAAATGCACCCCTCCTTTACGGTACGTCCAACTTACTTCTGCGAGGCCACATTTCGTGGACGATGCACCAGTAAGCGTCCTGTTCTTAATATGAAGCAAATATGTAATATGCACGCGAAATTACAATATCGATATATGATAACTAATTGATAGTGATGATTAGGCTGACATTATAGCAAATTATTTCGATAACGTTTGCGAAATATAATTATCTAAGACAAATTCATTAAAACAAAAAAAGAAGAAAATGCGTTTGTTGATTGCACTTGATTAATTTAAAGCACCAACATATGCGAATACACGACCCACTCAATATTCTAAGCACGCTTTCACGGCTACATAATTTTTCATTTTGTTTCTCATTCAACTAATATCGAAAATCATTGTAACAAGAATAAGTATTAAATCAAAATGATTTCATTTTCATTCTGTAGGTATCATCCGAACAGAGCAAACGAAAATTTGATAACAAAAAGAAAGAAATAGCGATACACTTATGAATATCACTCTGTATCCACATCAGTTTTACTGACTTTGATTGACAAACAAAAAACGTAAACTCAACATGAACTTTTCAAAGTGAATGAATGTGTTTCTGAACGTAAAAAGACAAATATTATAATGAAACAAAAAAACACGCAATTTTCAGTAATAAACTGATGGTCGCTGTGATAAGAGTTGTTAATAACAATTATTAATTAAATGATTACGATTGGTAATTACTATATTAATAAAAATATACATTGATTAGGTATGTATTTATTAAATATTTAAAGAAATTTTATTGATTATGATGACGATTGATTGAGGAGAAGATATATAAGGAAAGAAATATTGAAAATTGAACTAAATCCGATGAGATACAACACACCGACGTCGTATACACACGAATATGAAGGTGACTTGTATGGATAACTTGTACGAAGTTGCATTGTAAATAGTTATAGTTGTTTATATTATAATTGATAATTATACAGAATTATCGAAAACAATATTAAGTAATAAATGTCTTTGTATAACAGGAAGCATTTCAGCTTCAATTTGTTTTATGTTTTAATTATTGGGTATTTTATTTTTTATGAATTTTTTTGTTCAACAAGTCGACTTTTTCTTTTTTGTCGTTATAAGAGGAAGGGCTTCTTTATTTCATTTATACTGGATTTTTGTTTTGTTTATTCAACTGCTCAGCAAACGGTTGCTTTCTGGAGTTTATCTTTTTCATTCAAATTAATTTTGTGCCTAGTATAATTGTGATTTTACAATGCGCTGTAAATTTGATGTAGTTTGAAATTAATATGATTTTATTAAAAATAAAACCATATTTAAGAATGTAGTTTATATCGATTTTAACACAGTTTGTCCTCAAGTTAAACTCTAAGATTTTGTATGTTATCTCTAGATGTGCATTGTATACATTCAACTTTATTTCATGTTCCGTGAGTGTAAATCAACACTCATGCGTATATTGCTGCAAGATGTCAGTGCGGTTCTTGATGCAGGTATGTCCAGGTATCAGTAACTCGCGTGTTGTGATCTAGTGCGGTTGTGTTACCTGCCCAATTTGTTTTGATCGTCGCGTCGAACGTGTTTCGCTGCCTGCGAGATGGAATTTTCACTTAGTTTTCGGTTTATTGGCAAAAGTAGTACATGTGGCGACATGCGTGTGTGCCTCTCGGTGCAAACAACCTTCGCCCTTACTAGGTAGTAACGGATGTTCAAGGATATTTTTCCTCCTGCTGCTGTCGGCGTGATTTTCGTTGCGTTGTGTGCGACAATGGTAAATTTATAATAAAATTATTCTTTCCTTATTTATTTATTGCATTTCACGCTTGTTGTTATTTGCTATGTAGTACAGTGGAATCCCGGTAATCCGACCCGGCTTAATCCTGCACCTCTTGTAATCCGACAACAAGGGTCGCAAATGCGTGAATGAACAAGTTATAACTTGTACGTACCACTACTCAAGGCTCGAGGCGACGGGTATAGTTTTAAATCTGATTGCTCAATTTGGATTTAAAATTAAACAAAAAAAATTATGAATATTTTAATTCTTCTAAAATTGATTGATTCATAATTTTAATTATTTTAGTAGGTACATTTATTTGTACACTTTTATTTCCTAATGTAAAATTACAGTAGAGTCCGGTTATAATGACATCGAAGGGAATTGACAAACACGTCATAATAAGCGGACGTCATACAAAGCGTTTTGTGAAATGAAATCCCTTTTTTATGTAAATACTACTTAACTGGCA